TTTCTCTTCTGAAAATAGACATTCCTTGATGTGCTAATGTTGACATGTTCGTAGGTCCTTCAGCCAAAAATGTCAAAATCATGGATGTTACAGAATGCAGAATTTTGGAGAGTTTTTTTAAATGCAATTTATTTAGAACGCTGTGTCCTATATTTTACAAAATTTTCAATAGGATCTAAGGTGGCACGCTGAAGTCACACATAGCTGTACTCCTGCAGAATTTGAATACTTACATGGGCCAAAGACTACAAAGAGACTTAAGATAGCTTAGTTCAAAATTTCCTACTACGTATTTCTCACAAAACCTTTCCCCACATGGGGTGGAGATTTTATGTTTTGAGATTTGCTGACGAAGGATTAAGACACAGGATAGCATGCAGGCCCAGGATATCTCAGGGAAGCGACTGTTAGAGGGAAGAAGCTCTCAGTGCCCTACCATTGTTGGAGCACAGATGAAGTTTTGTCTGAGTCCTGCCGCTTAAGTTTGAGCATGTAAACACTGGACATATGGAAGAGTTTGTCCGGACATTAGGGCAGTATGTGGAGGAATTGAATAAATCACATGAATGAGCAGGAAGATCATTTCATGTCAGCATTTGCTATTTTTTTTTCTCATTAGTTTTATTCCTACCTTGGAAAAGAAACTCTCCCTGGTTTCCATGTGAGTTTGATGGGACACATGCTCTCAGGAAGCAGGCTGCATGGTGGTAGGAGAACTTCATTATCAGAGGCAAGAGGGTCAAAAATGAGCAAAAGAATACATAGTATCACACACCATTGTCCTCTCCTCTAGAACATATGGATACAGTTAAAGGTTCCCTTTATGTTTGATAAAATCAAAGACAGATCCAATTGATTTTACATAATGGGCTATTTCAAAGTAATGAATTAGCTGAACTAATGCTTTCTCACAAAATAAATAATCCCCCCAAAGAAAATAGATCTCTATTCTTAAATCCTCCTCCTCCGCCCTTCTCAATTAATTAGACGTTGTTGGTAAAAGGAAGTTAAGAAATTCAGCATTAGCCTGATTATATCATGAATGTAAAACGAGGAAGGAAAATAATGGGCTCTATACTCTTTCAAACAAGTCAAATAAGTCCATAATAGCCCACCAGTTGTGTAAACACTATTTCACTATTCTTGTAAAAGAAATATTGACTTACCTGCTAGCTAAAATTATCCCAGCATGCTTCGACTAAGCTTGTTAGTAATTCTCGTGGCACACGTGAATGTTTTGAGTTGTGGACTTCCATTAAAAATTAAAGAATTGGGGAAACATTCCTTTAGCCAACCCAGAAAGTAGGACATGTTCCAGACTACACCTTTCTGGCATCAAGGAACTCGAAGCAAAGGGACTAAAGAAGTAGAGTGATTTCCATTCTAGAGTGAAATGTTCCATTGCTCGGTCGCTCATTAATACTGACGTTCTTTCCAAAATTATAAAGAAAACCATAAAGAATATTAAATGAGTCTAACGTCACCCTGCTAACCTTGTTATCACATGAAAGACAGAGCACTTATCTCTGACTCCAATAGACAATTAGCTATGGAGAGAATCCAGATATATTCTGATATATATGTACTCTGATATATATGAATATTCATATATGGAATATATCAGAATGTATGTAAATATTCATATATCAGGATATATCATAATGTATGTGAATATTCATATATCAGAATGAATCAGAATATATGTGAATATGCATACATCAGAATATATTAGAGTATATGTGAATATTGGTATATATGAAAATATATAGTGATATATATCACAATAACCTTATAATAAACACAAGGTTCTCTGCAGGTTCTAAAGTTACCAGGAAAAGGACACAGTGCTCAGTACAGAATAAAGACTCAGGTTAGAATTTTGGCTCCAAAGCCCAACATAAGAACTGGCATTTTCCATCCTTAAATGTCAAATGAAAATGGCAACAGCCCTGAATCCCACAGCCTCGTATGTGACTGTCACTATTAAGGCCCAGTCAGTGTTGGTCCTCATTACCAGTCAATTTGAAACACTCATAAATCAGATGGTATTTTCTAGAAAACAGAGATCATTTTCCCAAGTCTTATTGAAACTTTCCTTTTGGGTGTGAGACATTTTGTTTTACTGTGCTTTTATCTTTTGGTGAAGCTTAAGCAGTTAACATACATCTCTATTCAAGAAAAAAATTCCACACCGGCTGTAGCATTCTCTTTGTCAAGACACGTGATCTCTTTTACAGGGTCTTCAAGAGCTTGAAGAACCATCAGGCCCTCTGAAGTCCTATGCTGTCAAGGTTTCTACTGAGCTGGGTTGTAAATGGGTCATGGATGGATTCTCACTCACTGGGTCAAGCAACTAACAAAACTATGTGTTCATGCACTTGGGGGCGGGAGCAGAAAGACTTAGATTCAGGTGTTTAGAAGGTGAACTTAGGAATTTACTTCTAAGGATCCATTTATTACCGATGAGATTTCTCTATAAGGCAGAAGCTGAACCTTCCCTGATAGTCCTAGAGCTTGTGAAGTCAGAGAGAGAATTCTCTGACCCCAGGATCCATAACAATCTTCCAAACAGACCCAGGCCATTCTCCTGGGGTCAGCTATAAGGCTGACCAACTCAAAGTTTGGGAGGCAGCTCCAAAAGGAGAATTATGGGGTAGTCTTACTAAAGGAAAGTAAATGTTGAATATGCAAAAGGGAGAGAGGGAAATTGGGAGGGAGGAAGAGAAGGAGGGTGAGGGGGGGAAAGAAAGGAAAGAAGGTGTAATTGATATCAGTTTCCCCCACCTCACCCCCGGCTTTATTTGATATATCTGTCTGCCCCATTTTATCAAATCAGAAACCTTTCTGCCCCACCTGCGTGTGTTAACAAGCTTCAACGCCCCCCCCCCATCATAAAAGAGGAAAAGCACTGACGGCTTGTAAATTTGGTATGGGCCAAGTTCCAGACACTGTAACATGTAGAACAACCAAGATAAATAATACCTGCACCGCTTTACCAGGAAGGTAAGTGAGAGTTGGCTCATTTTGGGCCTGGGATCAAGCAACTTGAAACTGGCAGAATCTAGATTCACGTACGGTTCTGCCTGATCCGTTCCACGACAATGCTATGCTCCTTTGGGTAACACTGACATCAAAGGAAGTTGTTTGGAGGGAATGGCTGAGAAAGACAAAAAACCCTGTGAGCAGAGGCAGAAGACAGGAGCAGTGGGTGTATTGTGGATGAAAGAGGAGGTGAGGGGAGAGGACACAGTGGGGGAATATATTGGTTTTCCAGAAACCAAGACTAACTCATGGCATGGTTCTCAATGGTACTACTCTTCCCAGATCCTAGGCCATGATTTCTTTCCTTGATAAACTAGTAAGATGAGAAAGACCATGACTCGTGTTGTGTGTGTGTGTGTGTGTGTGTGTGTGTGTCTGTCTGGCCCCCAACACTTATCCAGACACAAACTTACTGATAACAGACCTCACCCAATAAAAGTCCATGTTCAGACTATAGGTTCAAATAAAGCAATATGAATTCATAAACATGCATATATTCACATACATACAGATCAGGTGAGTGAACAGGCAAGTTTAGGAACCACTCCTCGAGCTAAAAGGAGATAAACATACCACACAAAGAAAAGTCTTCCTACTTATAAAATTCGGTTTCTAAGATAAATTCCACTGGACAGGCTAAGAATCTTGGTGGACTTTAAAGCCAAAGGGTTCCCTGCCTTCCTGTGGTCCAGAGGGAAAACGGCGTTGTTGAGAGTTGGCAACGTAGGATTGGCCAGCTGTTCACTCAGGTGTGGTCGATTTTTACCTTATGGAGGTCTAGTTTCAAAAAAAAAAGGTGGGGGGGGAGAGAAGGTGGGGGGAGAGAGAGAGAGAGAGAGAGAGAGAGAACTGAATCTTCAGGTTCTTCTCCTTTTCCCCAGCAGATTCCCAGTTGGTATGTAAGAACTTCTTCCTTCTTTCATTAGTATTCTTCCGAGGTGTCCGAGGGAGGCCCATGAGGCTCACCTGAGTGGGGGGTCGCTCTTGGTTTTAAGACCCCCTCCACAAAGTGAACAGCGTGAGAATATCACCCCTACCCGGAGGCCGCCGCCTTTTTGAAGTCAGTTTGCCTCCCTGGACCAGGATGAATTGGGAGAACCCTGGAGTACCGGCTTACTAGTTTTATTTGTTTAGCGATTTCTTTGAGGCTTTGATAATAGAGCAAGAGGGAGCCAGACAGCGCCCTGATGGAAGGATCAAAAAGGCCACCCATCTTCCCGGGGGACTTCTGCTCTCGTTCTGTGATGCCAATCTTTCCGATTAGATTTTGGTCCTTTTTAAAAGCACTGCATGCATCCCCTAGGCTATCTGAGATGAACGAGAGAAAGCCTGTGTTATCTATCTTTCAGTCTCTATCCCCTTAGGTTGTTTTGAAGCAGGCCCCCCTTAGCTCTCACATCTCAGTCGCGGGTACCCAGGAACTGTAGAGGGTGGGTGCAGGTGGGGGTCCCCTGCCGAGCCCGGGACCCTGGGTGCTGGAACCCACCCCTTGGAAGCGCTCAGCACTCGCCAAGACCTCAGGCTGCCAGCAGCCGCGCAGCCGGGTCCAGGGCAGAGAGACGGATGGTGGGAGGGAGGAGGGAAAGCGAGGCCGGGCTCGGGGGTGCCTGGAAAGCAGGGCTGCGCTGACGTCACTGGGCGCGCAATTTGGCTGGAGTGCTTTAAAAAAGGAGCGTGCGAGCGGAGATGCTGCTGCACACAGCTCAGACCGCCTGCAGCAGCAACAACGCTCACCGCCACTGCGGCGACTCCAGAGAGAGGGCTCCCGAGGCCGGCGGGACCACGGTTCTCTGCGCCGTCCCCACGGAGCTACGACCCGGCAGACGCCCACTGGGATTGCAGACGCCTGCTGAGCTACAGAAGCCGGCGGAGAAGAGCCCGGAGCGCCTCGGTTCTGCATCAGTCCCCGGAGCTGCCCTCTACAGGATTCCGGCTCGCCGCTCCCAGCCTCGGGCACCATGGACACCTCCCGCGTCCGCATGCTCCTCTCGTTGCTGGCGCTGCTGCAGCTGGTGGCCGCCGGCAGCCCACCAGGACCGGACGCGATGCCGCGGGGCTGCCCATCACACTGTCACTGTGAGCTGGATGGCAGGATGCTGCTCAGGGTGGACTGCTCCGACCTGGGGCTCTCGGAGCTGCCCTCCAACCTCAGCGTCTTCACCTCCTACCTGTAAGTGACCCCCGCCTCGCTGCGGGTACCAGACTAAAGGGGGTGTTGTGGGGTAGGTGGGAAACCTAGTCTGGGGCTCCCGGGCGCACGCCTGCTCTGGAGGGGGCAGGCGAGTTTGCCAAGGGCATCCTGACGAGACCTGTTTCGGCCTCCAGAGAAAGGCACGTGTCTCTGACAGAGCAGCGCCTGGCTTTCTGTACCCTGGGAGAAGCAGCTTGAAGCGCACCGGGCACCGAGCTAGTGCGCAGGCTGCTTTCCAGTGCAGCGCCTGGCAGGTCGCAGGACCAGTCCCTCCTAGTGTGCGCACTTGTGTGCCGAGTGGGGGTTTGTGCTCAGGAACCTGGAACCCAAGGGCAGGCTGCCCTACTGCTCACAGGCGCGACCTCTGCGACGCGGGGCTGAAAAACTTTCCCTGCAAGAGAAACACAACTTCTTCTAGCCCCCGGGGGTTCTGCTCTGCATCCCCCCCCCCACCCCACCCCAGCCCCACCCCTAGCTCTGGAGTGTGGTGAAATCTCTTTTCTTCTTCTTCTTTTTTTCTTCTCTTTTCTTTTTTTAAACAAAGTGATTAAAATGTGGCAACCACAAACCCCGATTAGAGCTGCCAGAACGTTATCTTTACCTTTGGCTGGCCGAACCGCCCTTTGAAGTGCCGCGGGCCACATTGTAATCTTTAACCATCTCCTCCCCCGCGGCTGCAAAGGGAAGTGGGCTGAAGGCAGCCGGGCGGGTAAACAGGGGCGCCGCAGACATCCAAAGGGGGACCTGGAGCATTCTATCAGCCCCTGGGAATCGTCCCAGCTTTTCTGCCCCTGCTACCGTGTCCAAATCCCCGACCGTGGAAACGAGGCTGCGGTTCCTTTATAATGTGGTCTCTGAGAAGCCAGCCCAGCCAGGAGGGTGACAGGTGGTAGGGTAGATGAGGTGACTCAGAAGCGACTCATCTCTGTGGGACCGAGATAAGTACTCCTCCCAACTCTCCTTCTAATCTGAAGCTCGGTTCCTTGGGGCCCAGAGACTAGGGTCGAGGCCACCTTGGAGTAACCCGATCTCCTATGAGGTGAAATTTGTGGTCTTTAATTTTTTAATTTTTTTTTTTTAATCAAGACATTTCGCCGAGCCCATCCCAAACCCTGTGTTCCCAGTTTCGGCTTTCTCTGATGTACCTTGGCAGGGGTTGGCTGAAATGATTGTGAGTTCTTTTTTTTCCCCTCTGGTTAAGGAGTTTTGAGGGAAGAAACACCAGGCTTACACAATGTTGCCCTGCTAGGCAGTGAGTGTTTTTCTCTGGAGACAATGAGCAACAGAAAATATCATGCAACCTGTTTTGATATTGCGACTCAAGAAAGAGACCAGACTCCTGGGTTTCCGTGTTGGACACCTCCGTGTTCCGTGAAACTATTCAAGTTACTTTTGTTTACCTGGATAGAACATAATTTTTCACCACCAGGTTTCTCTTCAGTTGAACTCATTACATGCTGTGATAATTTTTTTAGGGATGGATTTCTGCTCTGTGAAAGAAGCATTCTCTCAGAATTTACATTTCCTTTCGAACAGCTGTCTTACCACAGACTTCAGCACGCTTCCCTTTCCCCCAGTCTCCCTAGTTTAACCGCTAACCTCAGTAATTCGAGGGATAATGTGTTCTCCAGTTTGTTTCTGAGATCAGCTTGATGATTTCTCTTTTAGGGACTACGCTATTCTCCCCCCACCCCGCCCCCAACCCTGCGGAAATTTGACTATAGACAAGTGCAATGAGCAGCCCCTCATACACATTGCAAGGATATCATATAACATATTACAAAATATGCAAACAAGTTGACGAAGTGTCGGGTTTACTTTTCTTTTCCTCCCACGTGAAGGAATGAACATTTGTTGGGCTTATGTTACTAAAAGCCTAAAATTCTTTTTTTTTTTTACGTGATTTCCCATATACCTCAGATGTATCTAATTGCATCCTGCCTTCTCAGAAGTTACTGCCACTGCTCTCTGTCCCTCGCTATAGACAACCTCTGGAAGTTAAGATTCAATTAGGAAGGGCATTGTCGTATTCGCATGCTATTTGATAACATTCTGCACCGTGTCTAAGGAAAAGGGCTCTCTGTGCCTTCTGTAACATTAAACTCGGAGTGTCTGTGAACACTGGTGGGCTCCTCTCAGGGCTCACAGTTCTGGAGAGGTGAGGACCGAATATAGCAAGCTGTCCTGTGAAGAACCTGCCTGACATTCCGAACAGTGATTCCTGATTTTTTCTTCTTCTTCTTCTGGGTACAAAATGCCAGGAGCCATGGTGGCATGCCCTTTCCCCTGGGCTGAAGAGTTGGGTTTTGTGTTTGACAACTCAAGGGGCTTCTCTGCAGACTTAGGAGTAAACGATGCCCTCTTTTGGTTCCCCCTAGTATTACCTGAATATTTCTGGGGTCGGATGTCAATCCCTAAACCCAGTGGTTCTCAACCTTCCTAACGCTGCGCCCCTTTAATACAGTTCATCATGTTGTGGTGACCCCACCACCACCACAAAATGATTTTTGCTGCCACTTCATAACTGCAATTTTGCCACTGTTAGGAATCGTAGTGCAAATTCTTTTGGAGACAGAGGTTTGCCAGTGGGGTCGCGACCCACTGGTTGAGAACCACTGAAAACGGGGCCTTTTTATTTACTCATATTTGCGTAAATAATCATGTGGTTTCTTGATTTTTTTTTCTTGTTTTAAGAAGTACATTTTTTTTGAAACATTTGAATGGAGCATTAAAAATTATGATTTCACCACCCTGGTGCATAGTAGTGATTGAGTGCACCAAGATACACAGGCGAATGGCCTCGAAAACTTGTCATTTGCTGTTTGCAGTAGGGTATCGCCTCCATTTAGTCAAAACGGTATCTCCCAACCCCTCTGAAGTAAAAGGACAAGTATTTTATTTTGGTTTTTTGTTTTGTTTTACAAACAGATTATATACCAAGTTCCAGCTGTAAACACTTGCCAGGTAGATTAGCCACAATCTGATAGCTGGCTAATAAGCATCAGAGGTAAAGGTTTCCTGTCCCTCTTCATACGAGGCATGAACAGTATGCATTGTTTTATAACCTCTCTTCCCAGAGAACGTAAACCCAAAGGCAGCCTCTACAGTCACATGAAGCCTGCATTCTTCCCCAGTAACTTATAGCTGGACCACTGAACATCCTCGAAAACTGGAAATTTCTCCTTCAGCTCTTTCTCTCCTCCCTCTTCTCTCCCTACCTCACCCACTCCCGTTGCTTACGGTCCAGTAAGGTTCGCGCTGCAGGAAATAAGGCACACACAGAAGTTAAAGAAGAAAGTGGACAACCATTGTGTGAGCGGTCAGAGGCAAAGTGGGTCTGGCACCTAATCTTAAGCTGAGTTATTTTAGTCCATCCAATGAGGCCATTTTCAAACAGGGTCGTAAAAGTAGACTTTTGCATGCTAGTTTATGTTTCCATCATCTAGTTAGCGTGGTACCCAGGTAGCCTAATATAGTTACTTGCTTTCCCATATAGTCCACTATATGGAAATCCATGGAAAATAGCTATTTTACTTTTAATGAGAACTAAGCTTTTCCTTGTAGATGCTTAGCAGCAGGAACATTGCAACCCCTTGCAATCATAGGCTGTAGGGACACAGTGAATCAAAAGGACCTTTATATTTATGTGATTTGGTTGTTTTCCCATATGGTATTTTGAAGCAAAGCTTAATTCTATACATGATTAATAAAAATCGGTGTTATTAAGAATGAATCAGAAAATCTCAGCTATATCATGTATGACTCCGGACGTTTACACATTTTAAACACTTAAGATGCAGATTCAAAGTTAAGTTTTTGTTAAAAAGTTCTAGAACCTTCTTCAAAAATCAGACATTTCTGGTTCTCGTCAGACAGAGACAAGCATTTTAAGCAAAAGAAAATGTTTGTCCTTTAGAAATGGTGCCAAAGGCTTGGTAGGTGTGTCCTACAATTTAGACCAATTGCAGAATGTGTGCTGTTTGTTTTGGCATGTGCATTATTTATATTTTGTTTAAAGGAGAATATGCATAACTTCTCTGCATTGGAATGAAGTTCTGTCTTCCTCAGGATTGGGGGGTTGGGAGTCCAGTAGAGATTATGTTATGGGAGCAACTATTGATGCTGATTGGCTAAATTAGTTGAAATAATTTATAAATGATGAGTTATGATTCAGACAATTTAATAACATAAATTTGGAACAAATATGTTACAGATTATATATTATGCCCAATGTGTATGTACAGAGTCTGTGAATGTGTACATAGAACAACATGGTCTTTGGATTCTTTTCTCGTTCTGTCTACATTTTCTTCTAACTAAAGGGGAACTGAGGATGCAACCATCATAAATGCTAGGAGATGAATGAAGAAATAAGATCTCAATGGTAGCAGTCACACTTGAATAAGCCTAAGGAAGTTGAGAAACACAAAATTTGTATAGAACTTCACATAACTCAGTTTTTTATTTAAGCTAATCGGTTGCTTTTTAATTTCCAAAGCATAGAACTGCCTAAGGCATAAAAATAACATTGAGTAAGCAATTCCATAAAGCCAGCAAAGTTAAATATGTTACATACTATTGGTAGTTTTCAAACTGATACCTAATTTATATTATCTTAATAAAATATTCTATTTTTATTACTAAATAATTGTTAACAACTATTAATAATATCTTAGTAATAAATAGTGAATGTTCATATTCTACCAAATTGAAGTACTTAAGCAATTTTAACAATACATGTAACTATGCTTCCAGTAAGCCTAACTCACATGCGATAGGACATAAACAAAAGGCTGTAGTAAATTCTATTTGAGCAATTATGTTACGTTTTATTTTGTTCACGTACTTGTACAAATGCAGGATAGAGCCAAATGTCACATTTCCATGTAAACATCTTCTCTTCCCTCTAGTTGATATTTCTGATAAATTGAGGTCTTCACAAGGAGGCAAATTCTTTCCAATATTCAATTTTCTCACAC